ATAATGTAAACTTTTTTTTATATTTTAGATAGACTTATAAAATATCTCAAAAAATGCCTCATAGCAATTAACTACAAAAGCAGGATTTTAAAGAAAATAGACTAAATTTTTTACAAAATAATCATTTAATAGAAGTCGTTTTTTAAAAAAAATTTATTATATTATTTACTAACCGATTATCTTGTTTCTTTGTTGATAGAAAATTTAATTAAATCGTTTTTAAAGATTATTTATAATTCAAAAAAATGAAAATTTAAAAGTAAAATTTCTTAACTAAAAAAATAAATGAATTTTTTACTAAAATATAAATCAAATCTTTGTTATGATACTTAATGTTTCTTGGCTAGACATACCAAACTAGTGTTGCTAAAAAGCCAAACTCCTCGAGATGGAGTCGTAAAAATTGGCTCAGGAGTTGGCTCGAGTCTAATTTTAGCCAAAATTTATATGCCAAGTTCCCTCATATATATTTTTTAATAATATTTTTATTATTTTTGTTTTTTATTAATTTATATTTTAGATATAGAAATTTAAATATATATTCATTTTTTTTCTTTTAAGCTAAAGATATTTTGATAAATAATCCTTCATTAACTCAATCTTCCCTGTTTTCATGAAATGTTGTTTTCGGTACCACCATAATCTTTCAAATGTTTGAAATCTTCTTAGATTTTTTGGGAAGATTGCTCAGATTTTTTTTATTTCAGATTTATTATTTTTTTATGGCATTTTATTTTTTAATTTTTTTCATAGAATTTGATGTAAATATTATATTATTTTTTATGAATTTTATATAAACATTTTTAGTGGTTTTATTAATATTAAATACACATTTTTAAAGGTGATTTTATTAATATTAATAATTTTTTTAATTTATTTTTTATATTTGCCTTATTAATACCTGCAGAGGTTTCATTTGCATCGCCCAGATTTTTTAAATGTAGTTTTAGGTCAACCACTATCATTCAATGTGAGTTGACTATTGATATTTCTATCTTCAATATCAACAAAGTAAAATTATTTTACCTTATAATGTAAATATCTATTTTGTCTCCTGTTGGAAATCCTCTCGTTGAGCCGAAAGAGTGGGCTCCAGAACTCTTAGGTAGTTCACATGCTTATTTTTAACTACAAGTATAAATATATTGCGAATACATTGTTTTGGCTAATTTTATGAATAATATTTTCGTTTTCAAAATAACATACATTTTTTAAGAAAATATAAAAAAGGCAAAACATCTAAGATTAATTTTTCTTTTAGTGCCGCTTCATCTAATTTATTTTAATATTTTTTATATAATAATTGAATTAGGTAAATAATGCATATATTTATATCAGAGACCTGCAGAGGTACCATTTGCACGGCCCGGCCCGGTTTTAAATTTTTTAGGCCCGGCCCGGATATTTTAAAAAAAAATTTTACGGCCCGGCCCGGATTTAAAAATTTAAGGCCCGGCTCGGAATTTTTTAAAATTATATTCGACCTGGTATATACAAAAATTCACCTATGAGGTATTTTACCATATTTTTCAGCGAGTATTATAGCTTATTATTTAAAAAATACATGTAAAAAGCTAATATTTTGAGAATATTATATTAAATTTATAAAAATTATAAAACTGTTATTTATAAAAATGGATATTTTGAGCATATACTATATTTTATATTGAATTTATAAAAATAAAACTAATATTCATAAAAATGGTAATAATATTTTGAGCATATACTATATTTTATATTGCATTTAAAAATAATAAAACTAATATTTAATTTATAAAAATGGAAAATATTTTGAGAATATAATATAATATATTGTATTTAATTTACTATTTAATTTATAAAATAAAAATAAATCGCTATTTAAAAAAATTCATGTATAATAAATAGTATTTTGAAAATATAATCTAATTGCACAATATTAATATAATTTATTTTATAATATAAATTTCTAACAAAAGAAGATAATTGTATTATATAATATTGTAAAAAAAAATAATGAAAAATGTTGGATTAAAAACTTTCATGACTCAAGGTAAATATAATAAATGCAATAAATATCTGACAGTTTGCAAAGTAAAAAACCAGCATGATTGACGAAACCCTATACTCAAGAAAGATATTAAAAATTCACAAATTATCATGAAGAAAGAGAAGCATATCTACCTTTTTAGGTTGAAGATTACTTCTTCTTTCTTCAAGAATTCTCGTAGTGGAAAAATTCCGCTCACAGCTTGCACTTGAAGCAGGAATTGCCAATTTTGCTAAAATTGGAAATTCGCTTTGATGAGCCGCCCACCACTCTAACAAATTATCCACCCTAAATGTTTCATCTATTTTTTTATTTATGTAATTATAATATTCATCATCGGGTATTGACATATTACCAGAATTACCATCGCCCCATTTGTCATAAAACGATTCAGTTTGTTTAACAACAGTCGTAATTTGACTGGTCGATGGTATTTCATTTACTTCCTGAGTCTCTTGTAATTTATTATAATCTTTTATATAGTTTTCCGTCATCTTGCGATCTGTCCCTGACTATATACGTAATTGCTTGAATTTGGGACAGATAAAAAGAGAAATAAAATGATACTTGTGTAAAACAAATTTTTCAATTAAAAAATGCTTTATATTAAGTAAAATCAATTTTATTCCTCCTTTTTCGCTTTGAAAGGTATTACAAACTTCAAGAAGTGATATTCCTTTATTGTTATGGTAAAATATATTCTAAAAATTTAGATATGAATTATAAAAAAATATATTAATAATACTTGAATATTGGGGCTTATTTAAGATATTCCTTTATTTGATTGTTTTGGTAAAATATGTTGTAAAAATTTAGATATGAATTATAAAAAAATATATTAATACTTTGAATAAATTTTCAGGAAATTAATAATTAGATCGATCTGTGGGTATTAGGTAGTGTTAACCATCACCCAATATTATATTAATCATAACTATAATATAATCTTATAACCATTAACTCATAATGTAAAAATTTTTATAAAAAATATTAAGGCCCGGCCCGGGTTTAACAATCTTAGGCCCGGCCCGGATATATTCAAATAAAATTTTTTTAGGCCCGGCCCGGATATGTTTAAAAAAATTGGGCCGGGCGTGCAGGTCTCTGATTTATATATTATAAATATCATAAGAGTTATAACCTAACAACCCAATACATCATTAGTTTGTCTCAAGATAATAAAAATAAGAGGTTAACATGTTTGATATAAGAAATTAATTTTCTCCTTTAAGATCACCACTTATATAATAAAATTAGATTTAAACCAACCCCTGCCAATATAGGAGGGGAATGGGAAGAAATTTAAATAAATATTTTTGTTTAATTTAAGTTTTATGAAACTTGATTATTTATGATTTATTAGGCAGATTGAGAGAGAAACATTGCCTCAAAAATGGTATTCTCAATTAATGACTAAAAATTTTAAATATATTTTTTTGTAAAAATGTGTGACTGAAAAATTCCCAATTTAAAAGTGTTTTATTTTATTTTTAAAATTCTTGGTTAAATCTTTTCCATTTCTACTTATAATTTACTTAATCTGATAACCAATTTAGAAAAAGGGTAGAAGGATATAATAGATTAAAAAAATTTTTTTTATAATATTAAAATTTAATTTTTTCTTAAAAAATAATATTATTTATATTCGTCTGGTTGTCGTCGTTTCTCACCTCTCCTGGCCTTCATTATTTTTATTTTTTTAAATATTACAACTTCCTTTCTTTGTATTTATAATTATTTGTTTAATTTATTTACAACAGTTTTTAACTTTGTGTTATTTTTTCATTTTAGCATGGCATAAGCATACATATATATAGCCATAAATAATTAATATAAAATAATAATTAAAAAATTAGGCGAAAATTCAATATTAAAATAAATAAAAAGCATAAAAAATGAATGAGACTTTGCAAAAAGTAAATTTAATTTAAATTTCAAATAAGAGTTACAAATTAGTGATCTGCATCGGGCCTAATTTAACCCCTGCCAGGCCAAGCATAAAAAATATATCAGACTTTGCAAAAAGTAAATATAATTCAAATTTCAAATAAGAGTTTCAAATTAGTGATCTGCATCGGGCCTAATTTAACCCCTGCCCGGGCCAAAATTTAAAAAAATGTCCTCCTCAGCCCAATCAAGAACAAATTTTTTTTTAATTGTCCCGATAAACCCGATTCAAAATAAAAATTATTTGTCCGCCCGGCCCAAATTTATATAAATATAGAAATTATTTTTTTATAGTAAAAAAAATATACTACAGATAAAGAATATTAGCGCCTTATTTCTTATAAGAATTAAATTTATTTGACATAATGTAATGATATCACATTTAAACCCGGTGCGGTCCGAAATTTTTTAAAAAAATATAAGGCCCGAACCGAAATTATTTTTAAAAAATAGGGTTCGGGCCGGGGGTATAGTAGAGTTCTTTAATATATTTACTTGTAGTTGCAAATAAACATGTGAGCGACCTCAAAGTTCTGGAACAAATTCAGCTAACCCACTTATGTTGCTCATCGAGCTAGCTTGATTCTGAATCAATTTTCACACAAAATGGAGATGGCACACTATTTCTACATAATTATAATTTTAAAATGTCTTAATCCCAAATAAATAAATTTCGGATCAAAAGTCAGCTTGAGCCAATTACTGAACCAGCTTATATGGCTCAATGAGCCAGCTTGAGCCTGAGTTGATTTTTCGATTCAAAAATTGGCTGAGTATAAGGCCAAACCGACTTGACTCAGCCGTTTAACAACACTATACCAAACCTTTATTCAAAATTCACACATTTTTTTACAAAAAAAATAATAAATACTACTATGTCTGTAGTGTATACAAAAAATTCTTATTTTTAACAATATTATGCGGCCCAGGTCGATTGCCCCACTCGCCCTCCTGTCTGCACGGCTCTGGTTCAGGATAACTAAGATGTTATCGTAAAGAGTCTAGATATCATGTAATGGTTTACCTTTACAATTAATTTGGCTCAAGGTCAAGAGGATTTTTTCTGGAATGCATTGGTATGCTTCATTTTAAATCTCTTTGAAGGTACCCAAATTTTTTGATTACCTGATCCCCTAATAAATCTAGCAGCTTTCAATAAGTTAATTATCGTGGATTGCAATTTATTTCACAGGTTCAATTTCTTTTAATCACTATCTATCTATCTTTCTATCTATTATAAACAAAATACATTTTGTGCTTAAAAGTTTCGTAATTTCTAACTCCATTTAAAAATAATATTAACAATTTCATTATCGCACAGTGCTGGAGATAAATATATTGAAAGTTATTCGCTATTGTAAATTAAAGCTGTGTTATATATTAATTTTTTATTAAAAAACTTTTTTTTTAAAACTAATATACCATCAATATTTCTTCTCTGATTTGCGCCTACTTCTCCGATTTGATTATTAACATCCTGTAGAATAATTGAGAAATTTAAAATATTTTCGCTAGTTCCACCAGAAGTTGGATTCGCATTTAGATATCCAATGATAGATCCTATGGCTTCAGCGCATTCGTGTCTTACCATACAATGATCAGTTTTATCACTAAGCCTTTCTTTTAGTGGTAACAGACATATAGGGTTTTGCATCTGACCCATAACGAAGGCTAGCTCGTGCTTTAATAAGTAGGACTGGGTATTTTTAGGATCGGCTAAAACTTAATTTATAATGTTTAATTATATATAATATTATACTACCCAACTTCAAACTATATTTGTTCATTTGCAATTATTTCATGCGTTTTAAAATTTCGATAAAAATTATAATTTTTTTTATAAAAAAATGTTTATTTCATAAATATATACATAATATTTATATTAAAAATAGCATAATATATAAAATTATATTAAAAAAAAAAATTATAATTAATCAATTTAAAACAAATATTTTTACTTTTTAAATATAAGTCAAACATGTCTAACCTGGGCTCTCGATAATCCGGACAACTCCCTTATTTGACCAAAATTTTAAGTCCCAATCAAATTTCTATTAACTACTATTAGAAAATGCCTTGATAAATTGAGCATTGTCCTTTAAAAAGTATTTAGATTTTAAACTTTTTATCCAATTGCGTAATACCTCTTTTTTGTTACATTCATTTATATTATAAAATTTAATCATATTTTAACTGGATCCCAGATATCCCAATAAGACATATACATAAATAATTTTACACATGATTTGTTGAATAATTAATATAAAAAATTTTTTTTAAATGGTTGAACATAATCTCACTTTTGGCTAAACTAAGAATATAAGAGATGGTAGTCTTGATAAAATGGGTAATTGTATAAATAAGGAAAAAATTTCAGTCCTAACCATGCCCAAATTAAACAGGTTTGAATATACATATATTAAAGAATATAAACTTTTATTAATTAAAAATAAAAGAACTTCACAAATTATTTCCATTTTAAATATTATTCGTAATAATTTGTCCATTTTAACTTAATATTTGGTTGCATCCCCATTCGCTTTTGTAACATCGTTTATTATTAGGCATTGAATTTAGAGATCTTCGTATGATTCCCATATAATAGAATTGCAAATAGTTTCAATTTTCTTTAGATTATCCTAGTGGGAAGGCGCATCTAAAATTTCACAGTATGACACGGTGTCCCATCTTATTGAAATACAGTTACGCCACTTGGAAATAAGGGATGAATAATTGGATGAAGATATTGATTAATATCTCATATTTTTAACCTTTTATTATGCTATTTACAAATGTCAGACTTCCAAAAACCTTTGAACTGATAAATCCCCACATAAAATTATGCCCTTTGCACATTTTATAGTTCATTTTCATTTAAAAAAATTTGATTCAAGACTAAATATATTCCAAGCAAGTATAGAGTACTCATTCTCAGACAATTTGGCCATAAACATTTTACAATTTATATAAAAATCGATATAGATTAAGAGTAGTTCATAAAGTTCATGATAAATGTATCTGAAGTTCACATTGTGGGCCTTCGATACTTACTGGAATATTATTTTCGGTTGATTCATATTTTTTAAATTTAAATATTGGACTGTATAAATAATATAAAATTATGAGATTCTGAATCCCAATGGATTCCATAACACAATACGACATATACCATATTAACAAATAAAAATATTAGGTTACAATTGAATATTATTATTATTATCGAAATTTTAAAATGTATAAAATTAAAAAATTGCGAATCAAAAGTATATATTTTTTATAAGAATAGAAATATAACATATTCTTAAAGATAGATTCTACAAAAAAAACTAACCACATCCTTTTTAGTCATATTTTATTTTAGAATGATCAACAAATTTAATTTATCTATAAAATGGTAAAAAGGGTTGAAATTATATACCCTGTGCCATTATTTCAACTGCATCATCAGTCCCAATGTCCCTGAGAGTGAAAATAGCTTTATACCTATCATACAAATCTGCTTCAGGGTCCTTCAAAATTCTTTCGCTCATTGTTAGTAAGTATGATGGATCTATTTACATTATTAGTATAAAGTGTATAAGTTATCATTCAAATCAATCTTTGTAAGAGGTGGTCATGATAGAAGAAGAGTGGGGGGGGGGGGTGATTTAAAATAAATACAATTTATAATAAAGTTATCGAGGTGGAAGGTAGCATATGCCTGAAGATTTTATATTTTACAATAGAAAAAGGTTATTCAGGAAGGCCAGCTAGTTACTTTTTTTTATATGGAAATGTCGACTTAAAACATTGGAAAGCTCATAATATTAATAACCTCCTGAGGATTAAATTCTTTAATATGCCAATAATAAGTATTTAATTAAAGGAGATAGAGAAAATGTGTTCTTCAAACTGCAAAATATGTGTAAAATGGTAAAAAATAAATATTGTTAATTGAATATATAATCTGAACAAGATTAAACCGACATTATCTGGATTCAGGGAGAAATCCGATTGCAAAGATGGAGTTGGGTCAATAGTATCGTAAGATATGATAGAACCATCGTAAGAAAAGGAAGGATTCTTTATGCTATTTCGCTTCTCTTTGCATTCCTTCAACCAAGAAAATCTTCTAAGAGCTAGGTAACACGTTTCTTTTAACTTTATATTTTTTCAAAAAAAATTAAAATATAATGAAACCTAAGAAAGTTGCAAATCTATAGTACTAATATTAACCCTTCAATACTCTGGTGGGATATATGAAACCCCAGGCATGCTAGAAATGATATTATATAAAAACGGTTAAATATTATGATCTGGATTCTTCAGTAGCTTCATCAGAATCTATATTCCAAATTTCATATATTTCGATTGAGTAATTTTTAAGATATAAGCATTTTGTGACTGATTGGGGTTTGTGAGACCCCACCAGAGTAAATTTGTATGTTTTTTTTAATATTTGAATGTATTAGTGTAATTTTTTTTAAATTGAAAAATAAAGATCCATATTATGAATTATCATGATTATATGAATAATTACCCTCATCATCTTTAATCTAGGCTTAAGAAATTAAAATATTTATATATTTTATCAAGCTTAAGGTTAGATGTAGATCTATCTTATATCCAAATATCAAATGAAAATAATGAATATTACTGAAGATATATACATTTAAAATTGGGGTCTATTAAACCCCACCCGAGTACTAACATCATTTTTTTCACCAAAGTTTTGAAGGGTTAAATTAAACAAAAAAATCTTTTTTAAAGTGTCTTTATTGGAAATTGGGCCAATGTTCCCTTATTAAGTTGGAAAACATGAATAGCATTCATTTTAAGCTCCCTTTTCTGGCAGTGATAATATAGAAAAATGATGATTTTTAATATTAAAAATTTCGATATATATTCATTATGTAGCCATACAGAGTTGTTAAAGGATCGAATCAAAGATCGCCGACCCTAGATTTGCCAAATTTCTCGGATTTAAGATCCTGACCTTAAATTGTGGATCGTGAACGAGATCATTTTTTTAAATATTCAATCCCGATCCTTTTAAAAATTATTTTTTTACTTAAAAAGCAATAAATAAAATAAAAATTTTGAAAATTAAATTTAAATATTATTTAAAAAAAATATCTATCTATATCATATTTTATCAACCACCATTCCACCAGATTTTATATTTCAACAATTTCCCAAATTTTTTGTAAGAACAAGTTATATTTATTTATTAATTATTTTATAATATAAATTCTAGGTTTTACATTATAGATTTAGAAGATGATACATTTTATTGATGTGACAGCAGATATAAGTGAGAATGAGAATCTTTTACCGTTTCATAATTTACGTAAGTATTTTACTTCATGTGAAATAGATGGTAGTACCATACAATGATCTATGCAAAATGCTCTTTATGCAAAAACAAAATCTTCTTCAAAGATTAGCAGTTCAAACCTAAAGAGGCATTTAGAAGTATTTAATTCTTTTAAAAATACAATTTTTGTTATTTGTGAAGATCATAACAATATGCATATAATAAAAAATAGATTTACTTCACTATATGATGACAGTAATATATTGGCATCAGCCGCTATGCAGGAATTTGGTCTGGGGGGGGGGATAAATTTTTTTAAGAAATATTGTTTTTTAAAAATATCAGGCATAAATTTATTAGAACTAATAAATATTTCTAATACACAATTTTAAATTAATGTATAAAAAAATATATGTATATATAAAAAACTATAAAATAAGTGTGAATTAAAAATATTAAACGGATACAATTAGCGGTAAAGAATTAAGCTAAATTATAAAATATAAGGTGAATATAACCACTATAAATGACCCAAAATAGACATTTGAATCTTTTGAGCCTTTAAAATTTATATACATAAAAAATTTAAATGTTGGAAATATAAATTAATACATAAAAAGTTTCTTAGGAATAATTGTATTTTGTATGTTATATATTTATATGTAAAATCCAATCTTCGTTGGGATTGAGCTAATTTTTCAATTATCTCATCCTTGCTTGTCGTCAAATGCCTATGAATATTCAAAAGATCCAAACCTTTCAATCTACTTTCAGAAGTTGTACTTCTTGGTATATCCCGACGGTCTTGATAGAGATAATAATGTACTGACTTTTCAATTTATTCTTGATCTGGCATTAGCTTCTGAGAGAGCAGATAAAGAAATGGCAAATAAAAATATGCCTGTTATTAATAAGATAAATGATAATAAAAAAAGAAATGATAATGATAATAATTATAAACATCTAATTAAAACAACGACTACATTTGATAATAAATACAAATATAATAAACTTAAATGTTATAAATGTGGTTTTATTCATAACCGAGAAGTGAGATGTCCAGCTACAAATGCGGCATGTAATAAATGTAAAAAAATTGGTCATTTTGCAGTTTGCTGTAAATCAAAGAATTTAAATTATATAAGAGTGTCATCAAGTGATTCTATTCATAATATTTGGATGATACAACAAAATCGAAAGAATCGAGCAAAACTAACTGTAGAGATAAATGGGTTAGATGTTGAATTTGATTTTGACACTGGTGCACTAGCGTCATTGATAGGAATTGATATATGGACAAGTATTGGGCGACCAAAAATTAGGCCAACCAGTCCATTGACTGCATATGGTGATCATCCATTAGACGTTAAGGGCGAGACCCAAGTCAATGTTAGGATTGGATCACAAACAAGGACCCTACCAGTGGTAATAATGAATACAACTGGGGTGCCTCTTTTCGGATTACCATGGATTATAGCATTCAATTTAGAAATGCCTCCTCAGGTTATGATTAAACAAGTACGCAATTTGGTCAACAATATTGAAAAAGAAAAATGTTGCATAACACTAGATTCTAGAATTCGAGATTTGATTAATAAACATCAAGAAATTTTTGATGATAAGATGGGACATATACGTGATTTTGCAGTGCGAATACATTTAAAGGATACCTCTGTACCAAGATCGTTTCCAGCCCGTAGGGTACCATTTCCACTTCGCAAAGCAATTGAAATGGAATTAGACCGATTAGTAGCTGCAGGAATTATCGAAAAGATTAATTCGACTATAACCAGGGTACAGTGGTCAACGCCAACCGTAAATGTACGCAAGAGTAATGGCGATATTCGAATTTGTGCTGATTTCAAAGTTACACTCAATCCGTGTTTATTATATGACCATCATGTTATTCCTACCTTAGACGATTTGTTAGAGAAAATCCAAGGTGGTGATAAATTTACCGTGATAGATCTGAAAGATGCGTATTTACAGATGGAAGTACAATCGGAATCCCAGGAACTACTAACGATAGTGACTCATAAGGGCTATTTCCGTTACCGACGATTGCCCTTTGGATTGGCAAGTGCACCAACTATATTTCAAAGATATATGGATGAGTTACTAAAAGATTGCCAAATGACTGGTGTCTATTTAGATGACGTAATTATTTCTGGTCGAAATGATGAGGAGCACTTAAATAATTTGCGAATAGTGTTAGACAGATTACTTGCAGCAGGTCTTAAGGCGAAATTAACAAAAGTGAGATTTTTACAAAAATTTTTAGGGGTGATAATTGATAAATTCGGTATACATCCTAACCCGAAAAAGGTGAAGGCTATCCGAAATGCACAAAAACCTAAAAATATACAACAACTTAGATCTTTTCTAGGACTAGTTAATTATCATGAACGTTTTATTCGCAATCTACATTCTAAAGCGGCTCTATTACATAGATTAACGAGCGTGAAAGTACCTTGGCAGTGGTCGAAAGATGAACAAAATTCCTTCGATGAGGTTAAGAAATTATTGTCATCCGAGGAAACGTTAATTCCTTATAACGCGCAGTTGCCTATAATTTTGGAATGCGACGCATCTGATTCAGGATTAGGGGCTGTGTTGTTACATCAATTAGTAGACGGAAGGACAAAACCTATTTCGTTCGCGTCACGTACTTTATTAGAATCAGAGAAACACTACGTTCCGATTGATAAAGAAGCTCGAGCACTTTTATTTGGTATTGAAAAATTTCATTCATTTATTTATGGTAGAAAATTTTTACTTCGAACTGATCAACCATTAGAGCGATTATATGGAAAGAAACGCGATTTACCTAAAATTTCTAATAATCGTTTGACACGTTGGGCCTGGAAGATGGCTTCTTATGATTTTACAATAGAATATAGACCTGGTAATAAAAATGTAATTGCCGACGCATTATCAAGGCTTCCGATATTAGACACGGAAGAGAATCAAGATTCTAAACATGCTTTGGATATTCGAAGTATTAATTTGGATGATATGCAATTGTCAGAAAATATTCTACGAAAAGAGTCGAAGCAAGATTTAATATTAAAAAAAGTAGCAATACATATTCAGCAAAGTTGGCGAAACTTTGATCGTCATAAAGATAAAGAAATAGTTAATTTTTATAATCGACGGCTTTCTGTCGATTTATTATAGAATGGAATGGGAGATTGGTAATTCCTAATAAATTAAGAAATGCAGTGTTAGGAATGATTCACCGGGGACATCCTGGGGAAAATGTAATGAAATCTATTTTTAGATTGTATTGCTGGTGGGCCAGATGTGATGTTGATATAGAAAATTTTATCAAAATATGTTCTGGATGCCAAAAAAATAGACCTAGTATTCAAGAAGTACCTCTATATTCTTAAACTGTTGGGAAGGAATCTTGGGAGCAAATCCATATTGATTTTGCTGGACCAGTAGATTCACGATATTGGCTAATAGGTGTCGATTCCTACTCCAAATGGTTAGATGTTGATCTAATGCAAAATACCTCTGCTGATGCTATGATAAAACGTCTAAAAAAATGGTTTGCTAGGTTTGGAATACCCAAGTACATTGTGTCAGACAATGGACCACAATTCTTATCTGGGGAATTCCGTAGGTATTGTGATTTAAATAACATACGTCATATACGTTCGGCACCCTATCATCCAAAAACTAATGGATTAGCTGAACGTACAGTACAAACTTTGAAAGGTCGGTATTATGCGACGAGAGATTCAATTAGCGATCCCGAAGAAGCTATGACATAGGTTTTAACAACCTATCGATTGGGAGAGCATAGCTCCACAGGGAGATCTCCTGCTAAAATTATGTTTGGGAGGCAATTGAAAACAAGTCTGGATTGGATCCGACCAAATGCTGAACACGAAATAGTAAGGGCCAATGATAAACAAAGCCTTCACCATGATTTACATTCAAAGGAAAGAGAATTTGAAATCTCACAACCTATATGGTTAAATAATGAAAATACCAATGGTTGGAGAGAGGGAGTAATTAAAGAAAGAATAGGACTTTATTCTTATATTGTTGAATCTTCCGGGAAAACATTACGGAAGCATGCAGATCAGTTAAGAAATCGTTTAGTTATCACAAATCATTAAAGTTCTTTGGAAGTTACAGAAATGGTTGTGCCAGTGAATGAAGCAAATACAAACACAAATACCACATTACGTTGTTCATCAAGAAACCGTAAACCTACAAAGAGGTTTATTGAAGAAATCTAACTTTAAAATGTTTGAAGGATGTAATAAATTAGTAAAATATTATTTATAGATATTATATATAAAAATAGAATAGAATATTCAAAAATTAATTAATAAAAATTTGATGTTAGAAATAAATTGAAATATAAATTAGTAGTCGTATTGTTTATAATTAGTAGTCGGTATTACTACACATATTAAAATTAAAAAAGTTGAATTCAATGAATATGATATTAAATATTTATGAATACATGGAAAATTTCCTATACTTAGTTAAAAATAATCTAAATATACTTAATTAAATTAACAATGTCAAAGTATTCCCAATGAAAAGCTTTTATTTAAATGCATTACAGGCTTTTTTCAACCTACCTTGAGAACATTTTAGCATGTAGATGTTATTTGTGCACAGGTAACTATAACCTTCCCCAAAATTGGTAGATGATTCTTCTCATTTTGATTATACCCAGTTTGATGAGGTTTAGAAGAATCATGGATACCTCTGTTGTTTTTAATAACACAAAAGAATGAAGCACTTAAAGAATAACAAATGAATTGAATTTTTTTTTTACTACAAATATAACTCATGGAGATGTTATTTGTGCACAGGTAACTATAGCCTGCCCAAGATTGGTAGATGATTCTTCTCATTTTGATTATACCCAGTTTGATGAGGTTTAGAAGAATCATGGATACCTCTGTTGTTTTTAATAACACAAAAGAATGAAGCACTTAAAGAATAACAAATAAATTGAAAAATTTTTTTTTACTACAAATATAACTATAGCTTCTTTTTGGGAGTCCAATTAAAAAGTTGGCCATATTTTATCCATTTAAAATAAGATTTTTATATTATTATATTGTTTAAATTATGTTTGTTTTATCATAATGTTATGGTGATTATAATGATGTAATAATATAAAACTAAATATATAAATTTTTAAAAAAATATTTACTTATAAAAAATTTGGACATTTTAGGTAAAATTTGATCAAAAATTTCTTTTTTTTGAAGATATTTATCAAACTCTGGCTAATAAAAAATATCCCAACACTCCTTCTACAAAAAAACGTGAATACAATATAATAGGTACAAGTCAGCCAGTTTCAATCATCATGACTTAATTATACATAGTATAAAATGAATATTCATTAAATAAAATCTTACTTCTTTATTAGTATGCTGAATATATTTTTTGAGGGTGTTAATCACAAGTGTAGATTCTTCTCCTATGGCAGCAATAGCCTCTGCTATATTGATTTATTATGCAAATAATTCTAAAAAAATAACATTTATTACCTGCTTCATGTCTTACAATTATTTCTACTTTTTCATCACTAAGTATTTCGAGTAATTTTGGAATAGAATAAGAATCTTTCATTTGACCAAGACAATAAGCACATTCATGCTTTAGCAATACTGAGGATTCAATTTCAATGCACTTACAAATAGAATCAATAGCTTTCTTGCCGCCTATATTGCGTAAGGTAAAGACAGCGCGAAATTTATCAGTTAATGGAATATTCTTATCTAGTAAAATGCCAATCGAGTCATTTATGATTTTCTCTTTATCAAGCATTTCCTGAGAAAATTTAAATATAAACCGCACCTAATGATGTAAGAATTAAATTTCAAAATACCTATTTATTTACATTTCATTATATTTTTTATATATTGCTCTTTTATTGACATTGACATCCTTACTTTTATGAAAACTATATATTATTAAAAGAGTTAAATATTCGAAAAATTAAAATTGTGATTATGGAATTAATGGGCTAATAAATTTTTTTTCTATAAATTTAGCTTTTTTTTATCTTCTGATACAAAGCTAATATTTTTTAATCTATTATATAAATATTATTAAAATTTTAGTGGAATAATTAGCATATAGCAAAATTTATATTTTATTAGAGGATTTTTAAATTCACAGCTGATCAACATCAATTTGTTATGATTTCTTAAAAAAAACACTTGTAAATTTATTCTTAATTCAACGCAAATGAAATGGCATCTTTTAAAAGCTATATTCCAAATTTTGTAGAAGGTTGTAATAATAATGATGATAGACTAAATAATCTACTAAACGGTGATGGCGATTTTCATTTGAATTCACAATCCTTAAATAAAAGTTATTCAGATGGCCAAAAGCTTGGAGATAATAGTAAAATAGATTTAAGAATTAATAGAAAGAGTGAACCTATAGTCAATATACATAATAGGTTAAAACTAGAATCTGATCAAATGCATTTTAATATTAAATTACCTGATGGTAATAAAACATTCTGCCAAAACACAATTTATTCATCTATATTGACACACAGTTTAGCATATACATTTAAATCTTCTAATCCTATGTCTAGTAACCATTATTTTAATGATTTATCTTTGGTATATACAAACTCTTCATCTTCTACATCTTCCACTAAATCAAAATTTAAACATAATTCAAAGCCAGTTTATCATAATATGGCTACAGAATACAAGATTTGTAGCAATTCTAATTCCTCTGATAATTCTGACATGTATTTAAATAAAATGAGTAATATTAATGATAATAAAAATAGTAAAGATTGTCATATTGTTGAAGCTTATGTAGACTTTTCTGATTTTTATTCATTAATTAATATCCTTAATTTTTCAAATAAAACCAAAGAAAGAAGTTTAAAGGAAATTACTGATCCTAATTTATTACCCTACAGTTCTAATTATTCATCCTCCTTATCTGATTCAAATTCATCCTTAAGTAATTCTCATATAATATCAGATTCTGATAAAAGCCTTTCAAAATTTTCCCAAAGTATAATCAATCAAACAGACACAAATGAATGTATAGATGTTAACACTTCTATTCAATCAATTTATCCAAATAATTCTTTATGTTTGAAAGCAGAAGAAAAAATATCCAAAAAACTCAAATCCAATAAAGAAAAAGATGAAGTTGTTAAAGATGATTTATATCATAAATTAAAAGCCCTTAAAAATGCAGTTTATTCTTCACTTTTTTGAATAGATTGATTATATAAAATAACTTTATATTGCTCAAGCTTAGATAATTTATTGACTAAATATCATTATATTTTATATGATAAAAATTGAATAAATTTTTTAAAAGATATTAAATGTGATATTCAGAGAAAATTCAATATATTAATTATCGTGTATTTGAATGTTTTTAATAGATAAAAAAATGTTTATAAGTGGTAGTGTTGTTAAACAGCTTGATTTGAGCCAATTTTTAAAAGTGGTCAACTCAATATTTTATTCAGAAAATTATTATGCAAGCAGTAGATTTTGCCCATTGATGGCAAAAAGGTTTGTACATTTATTATCAAAATCTAGAGACTTAGATAATATTTTTTGGCTAAAATTGTGAGTTAGCCATTTAAAAAAATTGGCTTAAAATGAGCCATTTAAAACATCACAAATCAGCGTTGTAACCTTGTATACATAATTTTGCCAAATTTAGGTTTAATTTAACCCAGGTTCAGTTAATTTTTTAAAAAAATGGCTCACTGAAGAAAATCAGTTTCTATTAAGTTCAAAATAAATTGATTATTTTAAAATTAATTTACAAAATACAAAAGGTAAATTTTTATTAGGGTTGGCAAAAATACTGATTTTTAAAAATAACTAAAAACTCAACTTTTTTTTATATCATTAAATCTAATATTTTAATTTGAGAATTTTATTTAGAAAAAAATCATTAAAAAAATACTTTTATATTATTTTATTCTGTTACAACTTGCAGGTAAAAGGTTAATGCTTTAAGCTAACTCCAAAATATACATTTCACAAACTTTTGAAACCTTATAAAGAAATATAAGCTTTTTTAATATAAAAATTAAAACATGTCCATAATATAATTCCAGTGTTGTTAAACGCTACTTTTAAAAGTAGCGCGCTACCGCTATCGTTTTCAAATGAGTAGCGCGCTATTAGTTACTTTTTACGCTATTTTGATTTTTTTTTAAATATCTTTTGCGTAACTTTATTTCCACAAATAAAATATTGGTATAAAAACATGACTATAATTTGTTACATATATATAATTTATTTATTATTGCACTCTAATAATAATAACATTTCTGTACTCATCCCGAAGTCTAGAGCGATGATCAGAAAGTATAAGCTTTGCCATACTAAATAATCGTTCAGCACAAGCACTTGAGCGCAACGCAGTATTAAATTTAATAAACACACTTTTTATATGAAAAAAATCAACAAAAATATTTAAATGAGTATTTTTAGATTTAACATCTAGAGGTTCAATAATATTATTATTTATTTCAAAAAAATCATCTATGGAAGGCCGCACTAATACTATAGCAAGATCGAAACCGCGGCCTTCCATAATGATTTTTTTGAAATAAATAATAATATTATTGAACCTCTAGATGCTTTTTTTAAATCTAAAAATACTCATTTAAATATTTTTGTTGATTTTTTTTATATAAAAAGTGTGTTTATTAAATTTAATACTGCGTTGCGCTCAAGTGCTTGTGCTGAACGATTATTTAGTATGGCAAAGCTTGTACTTTCTGATCATCGCTCTAGACTTCGGGATGAGTACCGAAATGTTATTATTATTAAAGTGCAATAATAAATAAATTATATATATATATATATATGTAACAAATTATAGTCATGTTTTTATACCAATATTTTATTTGTGGAAATAAAGTTACGTAAAAAATATTTAAAAAAAATCAAAATAGGGTAAAAAGTAGCTAATAGCGTGCTACTCATTTGAAAACGATAGAGGTAGCGCGCTATTTTTTTTATAAAATAGTTGTAGCGCGCTCTTTTTTTTTATAAAATAGCAGTAGAGCGCTCTTTTTTTTATAAAATAGCGGTAGCGCGCTCTTTTTTTATAAAATAGCAGTAGCGCGCTCTTTTTTTATAAAATAACGGTAGCGATAGCGCGCTACTTTTAAAAGTAACGTTTAACAACACTGGTGTTATGCTGGTACTAATTAGTATTGTTGCCAAAATATACAGTAATTTTAATATATTTGGAATTTTGGAGGATTATATATTAAAACTGATCTTTCATACCAGGATTTAAATTCTGAAATTAATTAGCCTTTCAGATACATTTATCCTCTAATTAAAATTTGGCTAATATTTTTTTTTCAACGTCAAAATTTAATATATCCTCAGAAGGATTTATAGGTAATAGTATTTGCAAATTGGATATAGCTATTTGATTAATCACAAGTCATTGAATAGCTATTTGATTAATCACAAGTCATTGATTTGAGTAAAAAATATATCTAAAAGTGGAATAAAAACGATTATTTTATTAGACTCTCAATTGAGTCCATATTAATATTGGAACCATTTGTTTGTGATGAATAATCGTGGTATTAAAAAAATTTATTCCTTTATTTATACAAAACATATTTATAAGTGTACTCATAAGAAAAGTAAGAAAAACTTTAAAAATCTATATTATAATTTTCCGATGTCCTCACTACGTCGCATCATGTCATCCATACGTCATGTCATCGCTACGTCATGTCATCGGTACGTATTTATTTTTATTTTTTTTATTTGTTGATTTTATTTATTTTATACAAACAGATAATCCTACCAACAGTCTTAAATTATTTTTAAATAGATTATATTTTTTATTATTTTTAGCGATTATTACTTTTAGCGATTTAGAACGGGAACTATATTTGTTAATAACATTTTATCACATTTGATTTTGCAAAAATGGATAGATATTTATAAATAATACTGCTTGGACGATGGTTCAACAAGTTAATCATTTTCTCACCCATAGAAGACCATAATCTGTTGTATTACCCATAAAAGAGAAGACCAAAGTTTCCTTTTCACTGATTTCATAAGTTAAATATTAGACGAAGTAAGATTATTAAATTAAACTAAATTCTTTTTTAAAAAAAAATATACTCTTTTAACACTTACATATCACTTACACTTTTCACTACATACTCTTCATTATAATATCACAATACCTTTCAGGCAACTAATCCTTATAATTGCCTTATTCACTTATATCTTTTTGTTTTCTGAAGTTAAAATATTTAAATAAGAATATTAAATTAAGTTTAATTATACTAAATGTTTTATCTACTTTATAAATTTAGAATAAGAATCTTTAATTAGGTTAAAGCGTTGTGTAAATTTAATCAGGAAAGTGTTAATTAAAAAATAGGAAATTTGAATGCAGGTTGATCTTATGTGGTTCAAAAACATTATGACCAATGTAAACTGGGTTACTCTTTAACACATACTTTCACTAAGTATCACTAAATATCACTTAATATCACAAAATTTCAAGCAACTACTTGATATAAATTGCCTTATTCAATCAAATTTCCCTGTTTTGAAAATTTTAAATATTTGAATAAGTCTATTAAATTATGTTAAATTAAACTGAATATGTGGTTCAAAAATCATTATGACCAATGTAAACTGGGTTACTCTTTACTTACTTTCACTAAGTATCACTAAATATCATAAAATTTCAAGCAACTACTTCATATAATTTGCCTTATTCAATCACATTTCCCTGTTTTGAAAATTTTAAATATTTGAATAAGTCTATTAAATTGTGTTAAATTAAACTGAA